GTAAAAGCAAAGGATTAAAGGCATTATTTTAAGCCATGCTGATCCCTGGGAGATTTAAATACAGACGCAGTCTCCAAAACCCAGAAGAGGTCATCTAATCTCTTTTTACAATATACAAAATCTGAACATTATTGAAAACCAATGGGATTTTTTCCATGCAAGTGCCGTCAGTCATTCAGCTGTACACTGAAATCTAGTCGCTCTGATGTGGAACCTTCACTATGAAACTATTTTGGGTAGGGAGGGAAAAAAATTATAGGCCAGTAGTTTCACCTGTTCCATGTAGAAGAAGATATTTGGGCCTAATTTATCACTGCATTACTCCAATTTTATGCTGATGTAAATTGCAAACTGGATAGTGGTGAATCAGGCCTTTTGTGTTTCCTAATGAAGATTTTTCTTACTCTAATTTTTCCTTGGGAACAAATTGCTGCCATAAAAAGAGCATTATGATCTCAAATGGGAGAAGAGATGGCTAGTAAGGTAGGAAACACTAAAATGGGAGACTTTTTCAAAGGCACAAAGGGCAGGAGGAAGAAGATGATAAATTCCATGTGTAATCTAGTGCAGTCCCTGTGGTGGTAGCATGATGGTAGTGTGTGCTGGCCCTGTAAGAATAACAACTATGGATGGCTAATATCAGAAGAGACTCATACACATTGTGGTAATTTTTATTAACAGACATTTAAATTATGTTTCCTATGATTATATACAAGCACTGCATTCATGCAGATATAGTGCACAATCAGGAAAAGCAAATGGTATGGTTTCAACAGCAAAATTAACTTTGGCCAGATTTACACTAGAATATATTAAGCTACCATTTATCAGGAAAAAGAGGGACAAAAATATTACAGATCTGCAATATGGCTGAATGAACCATGCTCCTGGAACCTTAGCATGTGCAAGTCCTGTTCAATTTTAATATTGCATTAACAGGTTTTTAAAACTTCATTTCCATATTTGCTTTCAAATAAAAAGACTGGACAGCTTCATAGCATTTACCTGGTTCCAGTTAGGGTTTGAAGTTTGCACCCATATTGCTGGTGAATGCAGTGGAGGAGAGATGTCTAGCTTTGCTGCTCCCCATCAGTATTTCTAAAGCACCCATCAGTGTCTAGGCACTGTTCAGGGAATTACAGAAAATCATTGAACATTGCCCAGAAAAGACCATCTCTACCATCCTATTTTTTTGGGGGGGTTGCCCTTGCTTACCTTTGAACTCCCTCTTACAATATCCCCTGAAGCACTTATTTATTTTATAGACTTATAAAAACAATTTTAAATAATCCCCAAACCATTATGTTATCTTGTAACTACTGTCTCCACCACATTCCTTAGGGGTGTCTTAAATCTCACTGTCAGCAAAAAAAATTTCTGATATTCAGCATAAATTTTCAGTCTCATCCCACTACTTAAAGCTCTTTGAAGCATGCACAATTACTCTCCTTCCTTGCTGATCACACCCTTCAAATATTTGTAGGTATGGCCATTGCTTAAGGCAGCTACATGTTGAGGTCAGGTTTTCTGTGTTAAATGTGCACAATTATGAATATGCATTTGCTTTCCACACTTATGACCACAAACACCTGATTTTTTCGAGTGTGTGCATGCACATGACCATTTAGCTAACAGAATGTCAAAGCTTGGCATGCCTTTGTATGTGTCCATTTGTTGTGTGTTCAAACAGCGAATCCATACATATCCATCAGTGTCTAGGTATTTGTACATGAATAGTGGCAATATGGGTTTTTGGTCTTGTATGACCTGATCCATCTCACATTAGAGTGATTGAGAATCTTTCCATTGACATTAATGAGTCATGAATTGGGCTTCTCATGTGTATTAATAAAGTAATCTCTTTAGACCCTTGGGCATTTTGTATCTGTTTGGTAATGGGGTGCTCAGCACTGAACATAGCATTCCACGTGTGGTCTCACTAGGGAAGTATAAAGAAAAACTCTGTGTCCCTGCCTTTGACGGGATGCCTCTGCTTATGCAGATGAAAAATCTCTTTGCCCTTTTCTGATGCTTTATTACAACTATTTAACCTTGAAGTGGAAAAAAAAGCACTACAGAAGAAATCTGTTATTTCATATTGTAGCTAGCATACAAAATGTGTAAAGCTACCTTTATGTCCTGCCCCCTCTCCTCTGGATTTGTTTTGATCACATATGGGCTGGAGACCCTGTGCTCCTGCCAGTCCTTCTATTCCCCCTCTCAATACAGAGTGAGCTGAGATTATATTATGTAAGAAGAAGTTGTAATGAATTTGTGCCAGGATATAGAGTTAAGGTTGTCATGGCAGCAATAGAGGGAGTGGGCTTCTGGCCTCTATGTGATGTCTTCTGCTTTCAAATCCAAACAGGTAATGACAGATGTTGGAAACCACTCAGAATTCCCTCAATTGTCACGCTGGAATTTCAAAACTGAGGGTGACAAACTTGTGTGTGAGACCAGGAATTTGTACTTGTATGTACTGCAATCAGTCATAAAACGACAGGGTTACTTAGGGCTAGTCTACACTGGCAACGCTTTAACGTGGCTTGTGTGGTCACGGCAGAGCACTGGGAAAGAGCTCTCCCAGCACTCTAAAAAAACCACCTCCTCAAGAGGTGTAGCTACCAGCGCTGGGAGCGCGACTCCCAGCGCTGGTGCACTGTTTACACTGGCGCTTTACAGCACTGAAACTTGCTGTGCTCAGAGGGATGTTTTTTCACACCCTGAGTGAGAAAGTTGCAGCGCTGAAAATTGCCAGTGTAGACAAGCCCTTAGACTGTAAGCTCCTTGGGGCAGAAGCTCTCTTTGTCCTGTGTTTGTAGGATCATGGTCCCTAGGTGTTTCCTTATTACAAATAATAATAATAATAGTGTTCATTGCAACACAAGCAGAATATTTATTTTTGTTGCAAATAAATAAATGTTTGAGATTTATGCTGAAATCTCTGTGTCCTTGGTCCTGAAATACCACAGGTTTTATTGAGTCTGAGGAGTGAGATCTGCAAGACAGGCTCCTGCAGGCAGCTCCAGGTCGGGGCAAGGGGCCAGGTTTATAAGGGGACTTATGCTGAACTGTTTTCTCGCTATGAAATAAAATGCAACCTTGAAGAAAAGGGACTGAAATCCTGCTGAGAGTGGTTTTTGACCAATGGTTTTTGACCAATAGTAAGAACTACTCTTGGCAGTGTTTACATATGGGGCCCCAGGAAAATCCACCCAATTTAAAAACAAAAACCAGACGCATAATTTTCTTTTTTGTAGAAAGACCAACAAAGCCGAACCACACTTCATCCTAGACAGCATATAAGAAAAAGGTCATGTCCCAAGAGACCTCATATTGTATAACTCCTGTACTGAACTCTCTCATTGGCTAAGTAACATTTAATGTCACAAGGAATCTAGACTCCTGAGCAAAACTATGGAGACCACAGAATTCAGTACCCCTCCAAAATTGAGGTGAACAAATTTCATTACATTAAAAAAAGAGTATTCCTACTTTACAGGCCTGGCAGCCTAAGATAATTCCCTGTACATACATTGGCACGTGCTTTGGAGGGCAGAGCTCATCAACTACAGGCCAAGCTGCTTATGGCCACAACAGATGGCTCTTTTCCCTCCACAGCAGGAACTATTGTATATGCACAGGTTTGTTTCCCCCATCCATAGTCAAACTCCAGCTTAAGCTAGATTGGGAATTTCGTTTCTGAGGTTCAGAAGCATGCAACATCAGCTAAACTGTTCTTGTCAAAGCCTTTGGGGATGTTTAAACTTGGGTTAGCATCATTTGGAACTGTAGATTACTTAAATTAATAATGTGTAGAAAAAAACAGCTAGTCCTCCACCACCCCCCGGAAAGCATATCATTCTTCATAGTTATATAATTTTAAAAAATGTTTGCTATATCGAAGGGGCAAGTGAAAATTTGGCCCAAAATTTAGATGATGTCAAAACAAACTTTTACTCAAATTCTAAACCCAAAGAAATGTTTTGATAACAGAATTTTAAAAATTCAGCTACCTCTCCCTTGTGTTCTAACGGTGTGGCTGGGACCACATTGTATTTAACCAGTTCTTGAAAACCATACTCCAGTCTGAGTATATTTGGCAAGGCTAGTAATGGACCCCAATGCCAAAGACTTGTAATCAGTTTCCATCAGCTTTACCACTGCCTCTAACAATCAGAAAAACTCCTCTGTGTTTCAAATGGTAAAAGTTTTGCTTAAATATTTGTTCTTTCCTTAAGACAGAGTGTGTTTTGTGTGTTTCAAGTTTTGACACCAAACCTTTCACTTATATGGGTGCTAATTAATTAAAATCTTGATCTTAAAAAAAAAAAGATTAAAAACCAAAGAATTCAAGTGTAGTTCTTGTCTGGAAAGTGACTCTTTCTCATAATGACATAGGTGGGTTCCATGTTTATTGTCTTTCAATGACTCCAAATCAATTTTGCTCAGTTGACAAGTACTGTAAAAAGAATAATTTTTTTTCCTAATGTTTACCATGCATCATCACCATTTAAAAAAAAATGCTGCAATTGGCATTTAGGTCCCTATCTTGTAAAGAGAACTGGGCAGGCAGATTCCTGCTTCCTCATGGTTCTTGTTGCAGGATTAGGGTTGTTGCTGATGTATGAAGGAAAATGGATTCCAGCTCTGGCTTCCAGAAGTTTTACTTATGCTGTAGTCCTAACAGGAGTGAAAACAATTTTTTTGTCCAAAAGTTGCACATCAGTAATTAAGAGTATCCAGGAGCAGAGCTGCTGAGTAAAGGTGCCATTTTGTTTGCATAGTCTCTTTTCTGACTGTGACAGCACCTCAAATTGATGGTAAGTAAACTCCTCAACATATGACTTTTTCAGAATGCTGCACTGTGTGCAAAGCAGCTGCAGGCTTCTTAAAGGTGTGCAGCCTGGCATTCCAGATTCCATCCCACGGCTCAATATAGCCAAACCGCATAGTGACTAATAACGGCTTTTCTTCCCTTCCTTATGTCATTTTTTTAGGTGTGAAAATTTGCGTGTGTACAAGCTGGGCCTCTTTTCAGGTCTTTGGTGGATGTTAGCACTTTTCTGCTGGATCAGTGACAAAGCATTTTGTGAGATCTGGTCTTCATTTAACTTTCCGTATTTGCACTGTGTATGGTAAGTACTGTGTGTAAACTCTGTTGTTTCATTTAAAGAAAAGAAGCCCTTAATACAGATGTATGCACGTAGGCTGTCTTGCGCATTGTATGTTGTTCCTGTCACCATGATGATCAGCTTTACTAGTAAGACTCCCAACCAGTAGTGTTCACACATCCCATCCACTTGATAGATTTATGTGCCCTCCTCGTCTGTTTCGTTTCTGCAGACTCTAACTTCACTTTTAATGAAAACTAAGTTTCTAGCCTTTACAAATGCTGAAATAACCTTCCAAGTGTAAATCAATGCAGTCTTATCAGTCTGAAACAATGGGTCTGAGAGGTGACAAATCTCTCCATCCTTAAAAAAGCCATGACAGCAGACAGGTAGACAAGGAAGGTCAGAGCTCACTTCTTCACACCTATCCACCTGTGAGCAAAAGTCCCTTTTATTCAAGACCATACTCTCAATGTTCTTCCCCAAACTCTGTGTAAGTGTCTTTTGCAGCATATTCAAAGGTCATCAAGTTTGGACCAAGAATGCTACAATTCACTGCATATTTGTAGTAAAGTTATCTATATGCTACATCTTGTTAGTCCTAAGAGGACAGGGATTGACACTAGCCAGGCTCAGGAGGGACAGGAGAAAAGGGTAGGGACTGATTAGTCTGAAAACTTGGTGATATATTTGATATCTTTACTAAATCCATATGACTTTTTTTTTCTTTGTTTTTCATTCTCCTCAGGCACATCCTCATTTGCCTTGCTGCTTACCTAGGCTGTGTCTGTTTTGCCTACTTCGATGCTGCCTCCGAGATCCCTGAACAGGGCCCTGTCATAAAGTTCTGGCCCAGTGAAAAATGGGCTTTCATTGGTGTCCCCTATGTCACCCTCCTCTGCGCACATAAGAAATCACCTGTGAAGATTACATGAAATAAAGCACCTAGTGGAGGGGACAATCTATTTATTTTTTCATCACAGACTATACTTAGGTCAAGGTAGTGGCTAGGGTTTTTTCTGACTTCTATGCATATGGTGTTCACAAGTGTTTTGTTAATACATGGTAAAATATGACCTTTCCTCACTTTTCTGGAGAGGAGGCCAGAAGATTTATTGTGGTGCTCCTGAACATTTATATTAGAACTCTGTATTGACACTGGTTGGGTTTGTTTTGCACTCTGTTTTTGATGTAGCATCCATCATGATATACCGGTAATTCTTTCCAAATATCAAAGTTAAGGCTATTTTTCAAGGTTGGCCAAAACTGCTGACGGTAAGAGACTGATTCTCTTTTCATGTTGGTTCTGCCAGAGCTCTATTTAGTGAAGGAACAGTGAGGGGGACAAAGATGCCTTTAAGCCATCTTTGTGCCTCCTCTATTCTGTGCCCAGCTCCGAGTATACGTTAGAGCAATCTTGAGCGTACTTTAATTTGCACCTGGATGCATTTAGCCATAAGTTGTCATGGTGGTATTCCAGCGATGTTTTTTTCCAAAGTCATGTCTCCACATATGGACTGCAGAGGGGAGTAGTGTAGAGCCATTGTGGCAGCTCTGCACTGCATGGGAAATTCCCCAGTTGCTAAATACATTAGCAGAGCTGCAGAAGAGGATGGCAACAAAGGAAAATCGGACCCAGAATTGTTACACTGGTATAAAACAAGAGTAAGGGAGACAAGGAACAGGCCTTAAATCCAAATAAGATATTCAGGAACCCTAAATTCCTAATGTTTTCCTCAAACAGTTCAGAATGGAATGACGGTGTCTTTTGGCTAAATTATCTACAGGATGCTAATGAGTATCAGCTTGTGTGGTGTGTAGCAGAACCTGGTAGCCATTACAAACGTATTTAAAAATGTATATATTCCCAATAAGCATATGAAGATGGTTATAAAAATCCCCTTCTATCTCTGGGCTTAAACTTTACCACATCTGGAGAAAAAAGATTAAAGGGTGAGACTTTCAAAAGCATTTGATATTGGCTTAACTGCTCCCACAAAATTATATGGGAGTTGTACCAATAACTTCAATGGGAGCAGTGTTCAGCCAATACTGAGCAGTTTTGAAAATCCCACCCTAAACTATTAACACTACAATTTGGATTAAACTATTAATAAATAAAACAAAACCTTAGACTCCAAGTCCAGTTGGTGAGAGTTGCTTTCTGACTAAAGCCTTTCAAGTAGAAATGAATGCAGTTGTATCCTAATGCCCTAGTAGTTGTATTTAGTAAAGGTAAATGACCACTTAAAATCATATTTAGGGCCTGCATGTCCTTCCAATAAGCAGTGAAGTTTAAAACTTCAATGATTACATTCTTTGAAGGAATGTGTGGTATAATTTTTGCCATTTGTATCAACCTGTCTTGTAAAACATTAGGGACAGTCCAAAGGGGTGGTATCTGAATCCAGTTTAGTTTTAAGGCTGCTGTTTGGTTTTGACTCCTAGTTAGGGCTATGGTTGAAAGTCACTTGCACTGAAATCTTGCAAGCTGTTTTCACAAGTTTTTAGGACAAAATGATGCAAGGAAGGAGTCACTGATTTTCTGAGACTTCTACCATCTTTAACTATTGTGATCAGCTGTTCTTGAGAGAGAAGGTCCTTACTGTTTGAAATTCAAATCAATACCAAAACTGTAGGGGTGGGACTTCAAGGAATTGGATTTGAGGTTCTGGTTATGGCCTGCCTCTCTAAAATATTTAACTTCTAAGCAATATCTTACTTTGTCACCAATACTAGGCACCAATGTGATATAATCTCTAATGTAATATAGAAAGTTCCCCTCCATTTAAAATATATATTGCTACTTGCAGTGATAAAAGTTGATCCTTAGTTTTACAATATATATTTTGAAAAATCAAACTGAAGTGCTCATACAACATTAGTTTATTCCAGTTTGTTAAATATGCAAATATAATCATTGTTACAGCTGTAATAATTATGCTTTTCCAGTTAGCTGAGGCCTTTATTGCTTTACTTGGGATGAATTTGGGAGTTGTGAATGTTACCCAGATTTGGTCTGTATATAACCAGCCTCAGGGATATTTCTGTTTTAACCTTATTCTAACACCTAACACTTAATTTGGATTAGATGGGAAGTGTGTTGTGTAGTTTTAGGAAGCAAGGCACGGTAACTTACGACAAGTGTTCCAGAGCTCTTTGGTGGAACCAACTCTTCAGTATCACATACTGAGGGCCTGATTCTTTGCTATCTTATATCAGTGTTGGCTCCATTGGCTTCAGTGGAGTCACTTCTGACTTACACCGGTGTAAGCGAGAGGAGAACTGGGTCCTGGAACTTTAAGCATTCTCTTACACTTGGCTGCTGTGGTCACAGAAATGTACTTTATAACAGTTTTTACTTGAGAATATGCTACTGAGAGATGAAAACCCAGATCCTCTGCTATGGAATGGTGCAGCTCTTGTGGAGCAGGGGCAAGGGAGGATGTGCAAAGATCTGCTCCCCCAGTGCTGGTCTGGATGTATGTTGGTCTGGCCCGCTGGTGTAGCTTAAGTCAGCCTCGAAGGATCAGCTGGGTGTAGAGAAGCCTCAGCTAAACCCTGTATCCCAACAGCAGGGAGGGGAAGGAGGGTGAAGGAGCCACTACCTTGGATCTACAGCAGCAGAGGGTTCCCATATACGAGGCTGTACCTCCCTTTGTCAGCTATGCTAGACTTAGGGCCAAAATCTGCCTGTGGTGAAGTGAATATTGCACACTGGAGGGTCTGATACAAATAGTCCTGTAGAAAAACATAGACCATTTCAGCCCAAATGCTACTGAGTTCTTTATTACAGAGATACAAAGGGAGGAAGCATCCCCAAAGTCTGAAGAAAGTGATATGTCACACTAGATTGATCAGCCCCTCCCATTTCAGGGGCCACTGTCTGTGCCAGAATAAACACATTCCTCTATTTATTAGAACATGGTTCTAGAGGAAAGACAAATATAACATGGTATGAACCAAATCGTACTCTGCCCCAATGAACACGTTAGTTTAATTGGAAAAATCATTAGTGACTAAGGGGATGAAAAGACACAGCCTGATTCTCAACTGCCCTGCACCTTGTGTTGTTATTTCCACCACTGCAAAGTGCTACCAAAGCACTACTATCAATGACCACATGAGATACAGGGCAGTTGAGAAGCAGACACCTTAAAGCCATAAACTCTTTCCCAATTAGTGACTCTTTCAATCTTCTTAAATTACAGTGGGGTTTTTTCTCTCTCTCTCTTTGCAGTTTTCAGAGTAGCAGCCGTGTTAGTCTGTATCCGCAAAAGGAACAGGAGTACTTGTGACATCTTACAGACTAACAAATTTATTTGAGCATAAACTTTCGTGAGCTAAAACCCACTTCATATATATATCCTCCTACTGTATTTTCCACTACATGCATCCGATGAAGTGGGTTTTAGCCCACGAAAGCTTATGCTCAAATAAATTTGTTAGTCTCTAAGGTGCCACAAGTACTCCTGTTCTCCTTGCAGTATATATCATTTAGGGTGGGGGAGGGGGTGACGACCTCTTTTAAGCAGGCTCTGCAGCCATCTTTTTTTTCACTTTAATGGTCCAATCCTGTTCCCATTAAAATCCATGGTAGAACACTAATTGGTTTGCAGGAGCAGGGAGTTATTTCCCTATGTTTCAGAAGTATAACAAAAACCAAGTAGAGGTGGAATACCCAGCGGCCCATATTTTCAACAGCATCCTTTGATTTTTTTGGGGGGGGGTCCCCAATTTGAGGCACATAGGGCTTGATTTTCAGAGGTGTTGGGTGCCCAGAGCACTAGATGAAATCAGAGGGAGCTACAGAACATCTGACAAATCACATGCTAGCGGTGAGATTTTGTGTGGCCCCTCTAAGAAGTGTAGCAGATAACTCTGAATCTAGGGGGAAGATGATTAAGGCAGCCTTAACTATCTTTGCACTGTCCTGATCCTTGGCTGCTCCAGGGACTGAAACGGCCCCAGAATAACTTAGACCCCCCAGGGCTATGTAAGTCATGTCAGACTCCCATCACTGCCCTATGGGAACAGCCCTACTAAATTCACGGTCCATTTTGGTCAATTTCATGGTCATAGGATTTAAAAAATCGTTAATTTCATTATTTTAGCTATTTAAATCTGAAATTTCATGGTGGTGTAATTGTAGGGATCCTAACCCAAAAAGGACATGTGGGCTGGGTCCCAAGGTTATTGTAGGGAGAGTTGTGGTACTGCTACCCTTACTTCTGTGCTGCTGCAGGTGGTGATGCTGCCTTCAGAGCTGGGTAGCTGGAGAGCGGTGGCTGCTGGCCGGGAGCCCAGCTCTGAAGGCAGAGCCACCACCAATAGGGATCACATTTTGGTTTGCCACCCTTACTTCTGCAGAGCTGGGTCCTCAGTCAGAAGCTGCCACTCTCTGGCCGCCCAGCTTTGAAGGCAGCAACGTAGAAGTAAAGGTGGCATGGTATGGTATTGCCACCCTTCTGCGCTGCTGCTGGCGGGGCGCTGCCTCCAGAGCTGGGCGTCCAGCTGATAGCCGCCGCTCTCCAGCCACCCAGCTCTGAAGGCAGCACAAAAGTAAGGGTGGCAATACCATGACCCACCGCTAAAATAACCTTGTGACCTCCCTGCAACTCCCTTTTGGGTCAGGACCCCCAATTTGAGAAACGCTGGTCTCCCCTGTGAAATCTGTATGGTATAGGGTAAAAGCACACAAAAGACCAGATTTCATGGGGAGAGACCAGATTTCACAGTCTGTGACGCATTTTTCTCTGCCGTGAATTTGGTAGGGCTCTACCTATGGGTCACAGCACTACCTGAATCTTGACAGTATAGCATGTCATGGCCCTGTCCTCCAGTTCACCCCTCCCACTCCTGGACCCACCCTCAGTACACCCCCTATGTCACGGTATGTGAGAGGATCCTCACAGGGCAGCCTTATGGCTGTCTTGTGCAGTGCTGCACTGGAGGAAACCTCGCTTAGCTGGAACTGGGGCTTTCAAGCTTCTTTATGCCTGTCCAGTCCATTTTACTCCGTGTAAAGGGGCCAGAGTGGGAGTGAGGATTTCACCCTAGGTGTGTCAATATGGGCACCCCAGAACTAGGGTTCACATTTTGCCAATAACGTGTAATAAAAACAAATACAAATCTGCTGTGGAACAAGAAGAAGTAAAATTAGTGGTTTAGCAATATAAAGCGAAGATGCTGTCTCATACCAGCAGGCTTCACGCTAGCCTTTAGCTGATAACAGAAACCACATTTGTTAACACTGATTGGCGTTAAGATACAGAGTATTTGTTAGTACTCAAAATAACCATGACAATGCAAATAATTGTGAACACATCAGAATTATATGTAAAATGTATAGTACATTCCCATAAACTTGAAAAATAGGTGTTAAGCATTTGGCGTTTCTGAAACGTATTAAAGCCTGAATAGATAGAAATGAGCATAGAGACCACCCTCAATCCTTAAATTAAATTCTGAATTCAGTGGTTAATGTTTTCCACCAATATGATTTTTTCCCCTCAACATTCTAGGCCAGATCCGCAGCACTTCTTTGAGCAGCTTCAGCACGTAAAAAAGGACCATGAAGCCAACTTAGCTAGTTACTTGGGGAATCCCTCAGTGATATAGAGCCAGTGACAGCTGCATGCTTCTCATCTTTGCACCCCATTCCTAGGGAAAAGAGCATGGGGCCAGTCACTGCACTCTGACTACCCAGCTGCTGGAATGGCCCCGTAAGGCTGTGAACAGCTGGGTACAATTTAGAGCAGCACTGAACATCTGGGCTGTTCTAAGTTGTGCTGTGGGTGGGTGTCTGAATAGCACCAGGGAGGCACTAGGATCAGGAAGACTCAAAAGACTTGTGAATTCACATTTGCCCTTCTCACATCCCACCAATCCTACACTAAGGCCAGCTCTGCCGGACAGGAGGATCAGGCCCTCTGTGTTAGGTAGCTGGCAGCACATTTCTGCAACTGTGGCCAAAGAATGGCACTGGACTTCAGTTTGTAAGCAGAATAGTTTAATTAGAGGGTTGACTCTCCTGTTGACTAGGGACTCATTCGTCTTCAGATTATGTGCAATAACCTCTTTTTTTTTTGTAAAGACAATATATTTCCTATCTGTGTGCTAGAATAAGGCCCCTCCCCCCCCCACACACACTTTTCGAATAAATCTTACTGCTGGACAGAATTTGCCCAGGGACAAAAACAGGTGCACCAGCAGGTACTGGCTTTAGGAAACAATGTTTTCAATCTTACAGCTATTTGGTGGATTAGCAGATTTAAAATATTTTGACTTCATCTTCTTTGTATAACTTTTCTATCTGAATTCATTCTCAGAGATAGAAAGGGGCCAAATTCTGAAGCCCTTAATTGAGTCAGACTCCCACTGAAGTTAACTGGGAGTTCTGTACCCATGCTTAAAGGAAACCTATAGATTACAAGCATAGGCTGTCTTTCTCGGGAGTTTAAAGCAGGTAAACAGCTTCCTACCTTTCTGAAAAATTTGGATCTTCTAGAATCTAAGAGTAGGATCCTACCTGTGATCACCCCCATTTTCTTCAGTGGAGGTATGTTGATTTATACCAGCCGAGGATCTGGCCCTTCTCTCTTTTGGTTTCTGTGAGAAACAAACAATTTTTAAATCAAAATCTTTTGTACACAACCTGTTTGTTAGAGTTTATATAATAATGTTTGTTACTCTCTACTATACAATTGCTGTATCCCTTCCCTCCCTCTATAAAGTTAATGAACACTCAGTTTGTGATATTTCTCAGGTATTAAAATAGTTTTACTACCAGCTCTTCATCAGAATGGTGATTCTGGAACCGATCATTTTCATATTGCCTGATAAATCCCCAGTTCAGATAGGGTCTTTTTAATACTGTGTACTAAACTGTTTTGTATATGGTAAGTCATTTTCAGCATTGTTTGTGAGACTCGTGATTGCTGAGGTTCACACTACTAGAAATGATGAGAATAAATTCTACTTATGCTTTTTATTAAATAAAAAAACAACTTTCCACATTTTAAGGGCAGGCTGTGAAATCCTGATCACTAATCTGACTGTTCACTGGGAAGTAATTTATGTAAATGAGTGGCAATTGAGCATCTAGTTATCTCAGAAGTGAATGAACGCATGTACATGTACTCTGTATGTTTTGTTAAACTAACCTCTGGCTTCTGTACTTGTAATATATGTTTATGCAAACAAAAAACATTCCATTCATGTACAGAAGTCTATTGCAGACCTTACTGTGTAAGGATGTATTCCACTCTAAATAAGTGCTCTCAGTCCACCTTGTTTGAATACTGACTTTTCAAAATGTAACTGTTGCACTTTAAACTCCTTATAAAATATTAAAATAATTTAATCTCTTCTGTCAACCCACATGGTTCTTTGCTTTGTTTTAATTGTGAATTGTGGCCTTATGAGCCATAATGAAAACAGAGCTCTCTGAACTTCAAAGTAAAACTTTAACCTTTTTTCTGAACTAAGGCCCTGATTCAGGAAAGCAGCCGTATCTAGGAAAGCACTAAAGCTTTAAACATGTGCTTAGGTGCTTTCTTGAGCTGAGGCCTAAGGTCCTGATCCTGCAGACACTTAAACACATGTGTGAATAATCTCTGGTGTATAAAGTGACTTGAGTGCATGGGATTGGGGCCAAAGGGCCCAATCCAATTCCCATGGGAGGTGAACTGGGCCTTGTGTTTTTAGATTCAGCTAGTGTATTGGAAGACCATTATAGTTGACTATTGTTTTTAAGATTGTTGTTCAGAACCTTGATCACTTTTGTAGGGGTGTGTTCTTTATTTGAGGGTATAACTATTTTAATATAAAGACTGTGTGTGTATGTATATAAATAAATACAACTTCCTTCATATAAAATTGTTAAGCCTTATGGACTTCAAAGGGTCTGATTTTCAACCCCATGCTAGAGTAATTAACCACTGGAATAATTTACCAAGTATCGTGGTTGATTCTCCATCACTGACGGTTTTTAAATTCAGATTGGATTTGCTAAAAGATCTGCTTTAGGAATTATTTTGGGGAAGTTCTATGGCCTGTGTTATACAGGAGATCAGAGTAGATTATCATCATGGTCCCTTCTGGCCTTGGAATCTATGTGCATTTACACAGAGGCAAATGTGTGTCTACTTTTCACAGGCATATCCTGGAGGTACACAGGCATGTCCTGGAGGTAAATAGCCTTTATGCATACATGTTCTTTTAAATGCATATTTAACTTGTGCACATATCTGAATGTATGCACAAATGTACACCTACAGGGGACTGAAAATCAGACCTAGTGTCTCTAAAAGGGGCAATAAACGTAATACCTG